TTGTTGTTGTTGTTTTTGTTGTTGTTGTTTTGTTGTTTTTTTTTCTGGCGGCCGCGCTCCAGTCTGCTGCCGTCGCTGTCGTTGTCCCTTCTTGCTTGCTCCTCGTCCTGGCTTCCAGCCTTACGTACAGCCAACCCGCATAGTAAGGATGGGCAACCTTCCCAGGGGTATTACCCTTGCATCCTTGCCCCTTCTGCCCATCCTTAGCGACTTTCACTGTCCAGCCTCGCTCGAAAAACGTCAGCTTGGCCCTCTGGGGCCCTCGCATCCTTACCGCGCATCCTTATGATAGGGGCTGACTCTACTGCGCACCCTCTCGTCGCCCCCATTGCACCCCCGCGGCCCTCGCCCGGGTTGTGCGTGATTTGGCACGAGCGAGCCTTGGGGGTCCCTTCTTCTGATGGGGCCCGCCGCGTTTGTGCTCTTTTCGTTTTGGGGGGCTCTCTCTCTCTCTCTCTCCGCCTCGTCGATGCGCGCGAGGGCGCGATCGCCCAAAGTGTGTGAGCGGTGTGCATCTCATGGCTGGTGCCATACTCTCGGGCAGATTATGAAGGCTTTACGGCCGGTGCCGCCGACCCTGACGACGACGAAGACGAGGAGGAGGAGGAGGGGAGGAGGAGCAGGAGGAGGAGGAGGAGGAGGAGGCGGAGGACGCGGTGGAGCAGCAGCAGCAGCAGGAGGAGGAGGAGGAGGTGGCGGAGGAGGAGGAGAATGCGGAGGAGGATGAGAAGTAGGAGCAGGGGCAGGGGGAGGACGGGCGGGGGAATGAGCAGTAGGAGGGCGAGGATAATGGGAGTCGGAGGGCGGAGCATGAAAAGACGGAGGACGCGGAGGAGGGGGATGAGGAGGGGCAGGAGGAGGACGAGGAGGATGGGGGGAAGAGGTCGAGGTAAGGTTGCGGAGCACGCGGGTGGTGGTGGGGAGCATGATGGTGAGGATGATCAGGAAGACGAGGATGATGATGATAGTGATGATGATGATGATGGTGATGATGATGATGATGATGATGATGAGGAGGAGGAGGAGGAGGTGGAGGAGGAGGAGGAGGAGGAGGAGGATGCGAAGGAGGGGGATGATTGAGCGTTTGGGGGCGTTTTGGGAGACCCTTGGGGGTTTCTGGTGGGCAGTCCGTGCCTCTTGGGGTTCCTAGGGGCTTCTTGGGGGCGTCTCGGAGGCTTCTTGCGGCTTTCTGAGAGCTTCTCGGTCCCCCGTCTGGGCACCCTCTTGGAGCCGTCTTGGGTGCCTCTTGGCCTGTCTTGGAGGCGTCTCGGGCCGTCGGGGCCCTCTTGGGCCGTTTTGGAAACCTCTTGAAGGACTCGGGGCCGTCTTGGGGCGATCTTGGTGGCCTCCTGGGTCATTTTGGAGCGTCGGGAAGCGGAGGAGGCGAGAACACCAAAATCCAACAAAACCTAAAGGACAATTTGCAAATTTTGCCTCTTGGGGCCTCTTGGGGCGTCTTGCAGGCCTCATGGCCCGTCTGGAGGCCGTCAATGCGCCTTGGACAGATCGTTCGGCGATTCGGGGCCTTTGTTGACCGTCTTGGGGGCCTCTTCGGGCACTACCGACCCGTCTTGGGGGCTTCTTTGGGGCCCGGGACACCCCGTGGAGAGTCGTATCTGGGTGGCGATCCCCCCCCTGGACCCTCCCTTGGACCCGTCCCAGGACCCCCACCCCCGACGGGGGAGGGATCAAAGGGCAGGCGCTTCCCTTCGACAGAATTACGACGTTGCTCAATTTCGCTTTTGCTGGCGCGCCTGAGGAGAGTCCAGGAAAAGGGGGGCAGCGGCGACGGTCCCAAGGGAATGGGGGCCGCAGGGAAAGGGGATGACAGAGTCAACGACAAGCGAATGACTCTTTGGCGCTTCGGAGGGGGGGGGGGGGCGAACAGCGTAGGCTTTGCGGGAGGCATCCGTACACCGCCACCATGCCTGGCCAGGGCCATCCTGGTCCCTACGCAGGATGCCCCTGAGATCCCAGGCGTCGCAGCCCTTTCCCGCCAGGCGTTCTCGCCTGGACTCGGGCCCCTGGGCCCTCGCGCACCGATCTGGCTCGATAGATGCAGCAGCCAGGGCATCGTGACGTTGATCCGTGCTTCCGCAGCGTCGACGAACCTCGGGGGGCGTGCACGGAGCAGTGCCTCCTGGCCTCGGCCAAGGAGTGCGCATACACCATGCCTGGGCCCAGGATGGCGTGATTGCGCGTGAGAGTGACCTCTCGCTGTAGTGACCTTGGGTGCGCGCCCACTGGGGCGCGCTGATCGCCGAGTGCGGCGCGATAGTAGCGCCTTGCGCGCTTGTCTTTGGCCCCCCCCGCGGCCCTCAAGAAGCCGCGCACCAAAGGTCCTTACCCAGGGTCGCTCTTGCGTGTAGCCGATGGAGTGCAGATGCCTTCTGCGTGTAGGCTCCCCCCCCCCGGCCTGTCCCTGTCCTTGTCCCTGTCCTGTCCTCCCCTCTCCTCGCTTCGCCTCCACTCTCCCCGCTGCCGTTTTGCGCTCGAGGCCTGGCGGCTCTGCTCGAGCCTTGGGAGAGGCCCCGAGGTCCCCCGTGGACCTAAGTGCGACATCGCACGCCTCGATCCTGTCCTCTGCGTGCTGGTGGTGGGCAGCCGCGGCGCAAGCTGGCAGAAGACAGTCTCCAGTACAGTGGGGGCCTATGCCGAGAAGCACCCTGCTCGCCTCCAGGGTGCCCTGGGTTTCTTGGGTTTCGATGATCTCACAACGGACAGCGTGACGCTCCCGCGCCGAACATCGATGGACGTCCTGGGATCTCAGGGTTGGGTTTCTCGTGGAAGGTTTCTTGTGGACTGGCCTCCACTGTATGCGGGACGCTGGTCGGGAGTGCCTTGGGGCGACTCTTCGCCTATGGCCCGCAGAGTTTGAAGCCGAGGGGCATTCATCGGTCGTCGGTTCGCTGCAGCAGGAGGAGGAGGATGAGGATGAGGATGAGGATGAGGATGAGGATGAGGATGAGGAGAAGGAGGAGGAGGAGGAGGAGGAGGAGGAGGGAGGAGGAGGAGGAGGAGGAGGAGGAGGAGGGAGGAGGAGTAGAGGAGGAGGAGGAGGAGGAGGAGGAGGAGGAGGAGGGAGGAGGAGAGGGGGGAGGAGGGAGGGAGGGAGGGAGGGAGGGAGGGAGGAGGGAGGGAGGAGGGAGGGAGGGAGGGAGGGAGGAGGGAGGGAGGAGGAGGAGGAGGAGGAGGAGGAGGAGGAGGAAGGAGGAGGAGGGGGGAGGGAGGAGGAGGAGGAGGAGGAGGAGGAGGGAGGAGGAGGGAGGTCCCCCGCGGGGCGCGAGGAGAACCGCGCTTCGCGCGTCGTTCCCAGGGTGGGGGGGCTCGCGCTGGGGGGGTCAGACGGCGCGCGTTGCGCTCGTGCTGCTGCATGCTCTTCGGTCGCGTGGGGGCTGGGGTGGGCTCCTGGACATCTGGGGTAGTTTGTTTTTTGTTTTTTTGTTGTTTCTTTCTTTTTGCTCCAAGTATGTATTTTTGTTGTTTCAAGATGTAAAGAACAACATCTGTTTTAGATAATAATTATAGGTTATCTGTATTTCTGTTTTTTTTGTCAAGTATGTTGTGCGTTGCCCCTGGACCTCTCGACCCCTTCCTGGTGACTGGCATCTCACCCCGAGCAGTTCTTGACTGCTGCCGGGCCCCCAAGACGGCCTCCAGAGGCCGAAGCCTGCGAAGGGCTCTAGTCCCGATTTTTTTTCTCGCCTCGAGACGTCGGAGGTCGGGGTCTGGTCGGGCGGGGCGGCACTGGGGGATGCCGCCCACTGGCCGAAGGCGCTCCCTGGATTTCCCGGGAGCCTCCGCGCAGCCACCTATAGGGCACTCCTCGCGAAGCCCAGCGGGGCCCCGGAGGCTCCCCCAAATGGCGCCCGAAGCCGGGGACACCCCTGGGCAGGCACGTCTCTTTGGCAACACGGGGCGGGGGCTCTGTCAATCTGGAGGGGGAGGAGGGGGAGGAGGAGGAGGAGGAGGAGGAGGAGGAGGAGGAGGAGGAGGAGGAGGAGGGAAGGAGGGAGGGAGGGAAGGAGGGAGGGAAGGAAGGAAGGAATGAATGAAGGAATGGATGAAGGAAGGAAGGAAGGAAGGAAGGGAGGAAGGAAGGAAAGACGGACGCACTGAGGGAGGGAAGGAAGTAACTATGAATGGAGGAATGAGGAACGAGGAAGGAGGGAGGAAGGAGGAAGGAGCAAGCAGGAAGCGGGACGCATGAAGCAGGAGGCAAGAATGAGACATGAGGAAGGAGGATGGAGGAAGGAGGAAGGAGAAAGAAGGAATGAGAAGGATGATGCTGCTGCTGCTGATGATGATGCTGATGATGAAGATGCTGCTGCTGATGATGATAAGGATAATGATGATGATGATGATGATGATGATGATGATGATGATGATGATGATGATGATGATGATGATGATGATGATGATGATGATGATGATGAAGATGATGACGATGAATATGATGATGCTGATGATGCTGATGATGCTGATGATTGATGACGCTGATGATGTGATGAGGAGGAGGAGGAGGATGAGGAGGAGGAGGAGGAGGAGGAGGGGAGGGGAGGGAACCTCGCACCACGTGACGAACTCACTCTGCCTACCTCGGAGCACGCAGGGGCGAGCCAAACCCTGAGCGGGGGCGCCCGCAGATACGCGGGGGGCCGCTGGAGCTCTGGTGGGCGGCCGATGCCGCCCGACCCGGGCAGCTCGAGCAGCTGCGCGGCGAGTCCAGCCTGGGAGGGCGGAAGAGCACGCGGGGCGCTCCGGGAGGAGGCCCCGCCCTTGAGGGATCGAGAGGTCTCGCAGGAGGAGGAGGAGGAGGAGGAGGAGGAGGAGGAGGAGGAGGAGGAGGAGGAGGAGGAGGAGGAGGAGGAGGAGGAGGAGGAGGAGGAGCTGATACCGCTGCGCTTCCTCGTCGCCACGGCTGGACTCGGCTCGAAATCGTGGATGGGGACGCGCCCCGGGAGAGGGCCGTGGGAGCCAGCCGCCGAGCCAGGGGCCCGAGGCAGGGCCCCGCGGGCCGTTGGGGCGCGGGCGGCCCTGCCGCGGCGCCGCCCTGCGCTCGCCGCGTGCTCTTCCCCGCCTCCCGCCGGCAGCTCCGGCCGGGCAGGCCCGCGGGCGCGGGCAAGAAGCGGGGGGCCCGGGGGCGCGGGCGGCGGGGGCGGCTCCTCCCCCCCCCCCGCCCGCAGCCAGGACGCCGAGACGGGGGCCACTTTGGGCTCAGGGTGGGTCCTCCTCGCCCTCCTCCTCCTCCTCCTCCTCCTCCTCCTCCTCCTCCGCCCTCCTCCTCCTCCTCCGCCCTCCTCCTCCTCCTCCTCCTCCTCTCGCCTCCTCCTCCTCCTCCTCCTCCTCCTCCTCCTCCTCCTCCTCTCGCCTCCTCCTACTCCTCCTCCTCCTCCTCCTCCTGCCGCCGCAGCGCGCCTCCGCGCGTTCCCATCTCCGCGCTGCCGCCCCGCGCGCCGACGGGCGCGCCGCGGGCGGAGGGCCCGGGGGCCCCCCCCGAACCACCGGGGGGCCCTGCTTCGGTTGAAGGGTCGGGGCTCAAGGGGCGGGGGTCAGTGCGAACGGGGGTCAGTCAGAGCGCCGAATCTTGCAGGATCCTGCAGAGCCAGGGTTGCACTGACCCGGGGTCGGGTGCAGGATCCTGCAAGGCCCGACTGATCCAGGTTTGCATTGGCCCGCGTCAGTGCGTCTCCGAAGGGGGAGGGAAGGAAGGGGAAGGAGGCCACCTGTCCGTCCTGCATCCCGAGGCTCAGTCTGAGGGAGGTGATCGAGGCAGAGCTGGGGATGGCGGGGGAAGGCCCCCTGTCAGTGTAGCTCGCCGTAGTTGCCGTCGTAGGCGTCACCAGTGGTACCGATGCTGCAGCGCCTGCACAAAGGCTGCTATGCATAGCGCTCTGATATGCTTGTGGCCTTGTTTGGCTGCCACTTCGATGGCCCGCGAGATGATGATCCGCCTGGCCATGCCGTAGTCGAACGCGTCATCCGCTGCCTGTAGGTTGTGCCGAGGGATGGCCTGCAGCGACTTGGCGACTCGTTTTGCGTTGCATTCCCATGTCGTTGTGCCTGCGGAGGATCTGCTGGACGTTGATTTATTGGGTTCTGCTCGGCAGCGATTCCAGTGAAACGTGACTCCTCACAGAGGTCAGCCCTGGCCCCCCCTAAAAGTCATGCTTGCCAAGCCGTCTTTCGCGCCGTCTCGAGCGTCGTGCTGCCGAGAGTTCTTTCGCTGGAGTGCCCCCACCTGCTCTGCGATGTTGTGACGCGTGCGATCAGCTTATCGTAAGGCCCCACCTGCTGAGAAGGCGGCGGGGCGGTGTGCGGGATCGGCTGCGATGCCTCGTGGGCCAAGGTGCGTGTGCGCTGCATGGGCTATCAGGTTGTTCCGGTCGAGTGCGTGCTTCGCCGTCAGGACCCCGAGCCGCTGCTCCATCGGATCTGGAAATATCCTGCGTGCCATGGGGGGCAAGTTGAGATCGTATCCGACAGATGCTGCTGGACGGGGACAGCCCGCAATATTTGCTTCTGGATCGGTGCTGTCTTTCCCCACCCTGGTGATGCCTGGCCCCGCCCTGGTAGATCGGGGAGAGTCGTCTGGCAACGGGGGGAGGGCGTGGAATAGGATGAGCAGTTGGTCTTGGGTGATTTGTTCTTAGATGGCAGCGCCTCGCGTCACGCGGCGTCAAAACTGAATCGGGCGGCCTGGGGGATGGCCATGTGCAGCAGTGGCAACCGTTTCCTGGGGCGGGTTTTCGGTTCCGTCTACGCCCCCCCCCGAAACCTTTTTCAGACAGGGGAATTTGCAGCTTTCGGTTGCGGTTCAGCTCATGGAAGGCCAAGGCAGCCTGTGCGCTGACTGTGCGAATGCGCATGTGCAGCCCACTGGACCCCTAGGTGAGCAGTTGCGCTACCAGACTACCAGAGGCCCTACGGGGAGCTCTTTCTTCTTCGCGGGCAGCGCATCACCCACCGCATTCGTTCGGCTCAGAGAGTAAAGGCCCACCTCTCGCTTGACGAGGAGGGTCTGACCGATGGCGGGATGGCTCGGAGAAGGGACACATTTCAAGGCGACGAGGTGACCAAGGCGGGAAACCGCCTGCACCCCCGAACCACTGATGATCAGGCAGAGGCCTTGGACAAGGTTCCCTTGATCGCCAGTGCTGTATCCAAGCTGGCTGCTGCTTGTTTGTTTAAGTGGCCGAGGCTCAACCTCTCCGAGGTTCCTTGTGTTGCTCCTGCGCGTCGGGCCCAGGAGAGGCGCCCTGGCCGACCGCAGCATGTTGGGCATTTATTTCGGGCCGATGGCGTTGTCAGTCTTGTTTCACGGCCTCTCGGTCTCAGATCCGCCCGCCCTTCCCTGGATGCCCTGGGATCTCGATCTCTGGAGGCTGGGACTTTGGGGAGGCGGAGCGTCTTGGGTACTTCGTTGTCGGCCTCCCGTGCAGTGACGGACATCTGCTTCACATCTGAAAGAGCGTGTTCTACCGCTGCTGGCGGAAAACCGGGGGGGGTCACTACCGGTTCGAACCCCTCCCCCCCCCCTCCGGAAAACCGGGGGGGGAGTCACTACCGGTTCGAACCCTCCCCCCCCCCAGTTCATCATGAAAAGGGGGGGGGGTCACTACCGGTTCGAACCCCCCCCCCCCCTCGAACTCGAAAACCGGGGGGGGGTCACTACCGGTTCGAACCCCCCCCCCCCTCCCCCCCGAAAACCGAGGGGGGGTGCGGACAGTGGTGGGGACGGTGGTGGTGGGGACAGTGGTGAGGGGACAGCGGGACAGTGGTGGGGACAGTGGGACAGTGGTGGGGACGGTAGTGGTGGGGACAATGGTGAGGACAATGGTGGGAACAGTGGGGACAGTGGGACAGTGGTGGGGACGGTGGTGGTGGGGACAGTGGTGTGGGGACAGTGGGAATGTGGTGGAAACAGTAGGACAGTGGAGGGTACAGTGGTGGTGGGGACAGTGGTGAAGGCGGTGGCGAGGACGGCGGTGGGACAATGGGACAGAGGTACAGTGGGGACAGTGGTGGGGACAGTGGGGACAGTGGTGGGAACAGTGGGACAGCTCAGTGGTTCGAACCAGTAGTGACCCCCCCCTCCGGTTTTCGAGGGGGGG